AGACTAAATATACTTACTACAATCAAGTAAAAGAGAGAAAAACATACTTTTGTTCTATATATAATTCATTACATTTTTATCTTTCTTGTAATGTTTTACCGATTTATTAACAAAATACAGCGTAATGTTAAAAAATACATTTTTTTACTATTTATTTATTTATTTACATTTTGGCCAACAGTTTTGAACAACAACATGTACAACAACAAAAACAACAACAAAAGTCTCTAACATGGGGTGGCAGGGGGGGATGCAGAAACAAGTGCCACAGGGCACCTGCTCCTCGGCTGTGACTCTGATGCGACCCCTCCTCCTGAGTCGGCATTGGGGTCTCATTCGCAAGGCCAGTACAGGGCCAGTCTGTCCCTATGGACAACAACAGTCCGCCACCCCACCTGGACTAGATACACTAGCCCGCCCATTTGCTCTTCCACCATGCAGGTGCTCTTCCATGGTGGCTGGAGCTTGGGGCAGCGTCCCTTCCTGTAGCGCAGGATAGCAAAAAGGGACGGAGGTTTACCGACTTGATATCCTGTGACACCTGCTCCAAGTTTGCAAATGTAGCTGGTGCGTTTCTGAAGGGGAAGGCCATTACCATAAACTGCCATATGAACATTGTCTTCTCTCCGCTGCCACAGCTTGTGCACCACTTTCAATGTCATACAAACCATTTATGCACTCACTGCCAGTGCCCTCTGCACCTTCTGCTGTCTCCAACATCCATTGATGCAGGTAATGCCACAACCTTTAGGGATCCATCCTCTGGCACAGGCACTGCATGTTCAGCTCCTCCCATACCATCAGCTTCACCCATGAAAAGCCTTCTACTTGACAGCACGCCCTACTGCTGGGTTTTTGCCCACCAGCTTTGATGCTGCATGTTCAGCTCATCCAGTGCCAGTTGTTACCCCCAAAGAGGACAAAGTCCTCGCTTCCAAGGAGCCTCGTCTCTCCACCTCAACTCGGTCGCTGGCTGCTGCATGCTGCTCTTCTTGCCTGTCCTCCAAGCCCAGTGTTGCCTTCCTGATGTTGGGTGCAGCCTCAGGCACCCATAGTAAATCTAAGTATATGCGTATCCCATGCGGGCACAGGTCAGAACTCATGTAGTCAACTAAGACCCCCCAGGACAACTGAGAGCCACTTTTTCCCCTCATGTCAACTTGGCTGCCAGTGACAGACCTGATTGAATGGTTGTCAAATCCCAGCTGTCTGGCCTACCTCTCTCAGTCTGGAGGAGCATGCCTGGCCATAGCAGTGATATTGACAAGCTTGTGTTGATGAGCCTTTTACCATTTATGCTTCACTTGACCCGAAGCCTGCAACAGCGGCCATTCTTCCAGGTGGTGGCGTCAATGCTTAGTGTTATTCTTTCCATCACTACTCACTCAGGGGCTGTTTCACACACCCCCCCCTCCTCAAACGCCTCCACCGGGTAGCACTGTGTTACTTGCCTTGAAGCCTGTGAACTAAGGATGAGCTCCACCAGCCAAAATGCCTGCTTGAACGTGAGCTGCACTTGCAGCCTCGGTTCCTCCAGCACGTTGATGAAACACTCCAGTGCCAACTTCTCCTGTGTCATCCTCTCGAACGCTGGGTATGCCTCCCAGATCATTGTGCTCAACTCTCCCGCCAGTACACTTATCCGCTTTCTCTTTCACCCCTCTCTGTCCGGAAACAGCTTCCTAACTGACAGAACCACCAGCACCTGCCTGAACTGCTGCTGGATAGCCGGCTCTTCTTCCGCTTGTTTCTTTTTCACTGGCTTCTCTTCTTCATCCGTCCACCATTGAGTTTGTTGATGTTCCGCTCTACCTCTTCCAGCTCAGTGGCAAGATCCCACTTCCTGACATCAGTGTAGCATTGGGCAAAAGAGGAAGAGGAGGACGCCATTTTTCTACTGAAGGACAGCTTTTTTATGGAAAACACAGCAGAAAAGGCCACTCAAACACAACCAGAGTAGCAGGCAGGTCACCCCTGCCATATATTTTCTTTTTATGGTTAAGATGCAAACCCACGTTAACTGACCCCACAGCCCAACACAATGAAACGCAATAAACACATACATGCATCTTAACTCGAGAACAACAATAGCTTTGCACACCACACCCTAAAGCCCCTTCTGTAACCGGAGAAAGTGGCAGCTGCCAACATATAAAGAAAAAAAACATCAAAAATTAACTAAATGTTAATGACTAAAATATGAATGAGTAAAAAGTTAATTACTTTCCTCACAAATATACTTAAGTAGAAATCAAAGTATTATCATTGAAAAGCACTCAGGAAATTACACATCCATCAAAACATTTATTTAAGTACATGTAACTGAGTAAAAGTAATTAGTTACTATGATGTGTGGGTACTTAATTACTCGGTTAACTGTTCAAGGTGCCAGTATTCAAATACTGAAATCACTGTTCATGTAGTTGCTATGTTTCATGACAAGAAGACGATAGTTCAGTGAAAACAAGGTGAGGCAGCTGGTGCTTTTTCACCAACTGGGCTAAATACTCTACTATGCTGATGTTAGCTAGAAACAGTGAAAATACTGTGTATTTCTCTGATAAACTAACATGTTGGCACATTGTCCACTGAGAAGAAATGATCTTGTGTAAAAGATGAGTACTCATCAGCTTCCAAGCTGGCTCATTAGCTCATCTGAAGAGCCTCCATTAATCATCCAACATGAAAACCTACCGATTGCTCTCACGCTTTTCTAATAATATTCTTAAATATTAACCTTAACATCTAAAAAGTAAGCCTGCAGCCCTAAGGTCATTTTGGCTGAAGTCCTTTTTGTCTTTGTTGTTTCCTTTTTTCTCTGTGGTTAACCAGATATCCGTTGGTTAACTTTTAGGAATACTTGATATCGTGAAAATTGGTTGGAATGTACACCCCTAGTTACTGCCCACCTCTGGTTGGTAGTTCATATGATCACATTTAATCACTACTGACACATTTCATCATGTCTGTAACTTCTTCTAAGCTGCATTAAGCACTCCTGCCTCAAAAAAGGAAATTTAGTAAATTCAATTAAAAATGTAGCTCATCACAAAACACACTTTGGGCAGGTTTGTGGAACAAACGCACAATGTTTAGCCCAAAGCTAAGGGCATAAAACATTGCAATACTGAATTATTTTTCTAATTTTACAGACAGAAGTTTGCTATAAACCTTTTGGCTTGAAGTCCATACCATCACTAAATTACCCGAGTCTGATATCAAAAGCACTAGCTAAGTAAATTCACTTTACCCTAAAATGCACTTTTAACAATTTCCATGAAACAGTTATGCTTAAATATATCACTGGCCTCTACCATAGTTTATACGTGATCTAATTGGACAGTACGCTTCACGTTCACTCTTTTACATTGGACAGCAGCATATTTGAATGCTGCCAATTTGATCAAGAGAAAAGTTTTCATACTTTTAAATTAAACATATGCAACAAATAAATTCGAACAACAAAAAAAATCTGATGCTTCTCACAGATCATGATGATTAGATTAAGAGGTAAACATGAAATCAGAGAAATGCTCAAAGTTTTTCCATACAGACACAGACATATTCATACAGTGCACCAAAGTCCATGAAAGATTCTTTTTAGTACTTATAAGCACACTGCAATTAATCAATCAGAAACTATTTCTCTGCTTCAGCGATTTGTTTTAAGAGCTCAGAAAACCCTAATGAGCCAGCTGAACCTGTATTTTTTGATTGCATCTTATAATCCTACTGTTCACATTTGTTAGATGTGTATCCAACATCCCATTTTCTACATTGTTTTTGCATTTAAAATGTTTATGTACGTGCATGTACTAAAACATTTATAATACATTTTTACATGGAAATTTCTCAACCTCTCTTTATCCCTTAGAATTAAACGGGCTCATTTTGTTACTGTGCCTTTAAGGCTGATATATGTAAATTACCTCTGTCCTGAATGGCTGAGGAGTATTGTGCCTCATTCAGAAAGAAGTCTGGGCTGGAACAGTACTTATAACTTCAGCAAAAATGGTCAGGGCTAAACTGCTGTAGGTTGAATAGGCAATAGGTGTACGTGAATGTATTGTTTTTCATGACATCATAAAATCAATAAATTCAAAACATTTGCTTAATGGACCCTTTAAAAAGTGCTAGTGTATTTAGCAATAGCTTAGCCACCAATCTCTTTGTTTGTCTGCTTTATCAGAAATAACAAAAGCATTTCCGCAGTCCCAGTCTGGCTGTTTGATTCTTTGATTTTAGAGCATTTGTGTGATGTAATGTTGAGACAGTTCTGGCGCGGACTTTTGAAAAGCAGCTTCCAAAACAACAAGAGCAGCAATGACGAGCCATCAATAGTGCAACAGTCATGTAAGCTGTTTTGATTCCTGCTTCTGTTTTAATATAAAAACCCAACTGTCATTCATTTACAACATCAGTATCACAATCATCCTTACTGAGGGCCTCAGTAGGGGCTCATACCCCAACAGCACTGTTATTGACTGTGGCCAACCCTCATTAATACTGACAGTGACTGTATTGTTATTGTATGTGCCCTTAACAAAAAGCGTTCTATATAGAACCTAAGAAAGGTCCTATATGACTTATAACAAGAGCAGAACCCATTTTCTCCTATACAGAAACTTTTTTTTTTAAAAAAAAAAAGGTTCTTTAAAGAAACTTACAACAGCTTTTCCATCATGGAGAAATCATTTATGCCCGAAAAGGTTCTTTGAGTGTTCATCGTTCTATTAAAGCATTCAGTAAACCAGTAAATGAATGAAGAATGATTTACATAAGTGTCATATTTTAGAGCTGTGTTGGTTTGTTTTGGAATAGAGGAGCACATGCACCTCTCAGATCCAATTAAATAGTGCTTTGCAGTACAAAACTAATTCAAAACTTGTTTACAGCTTGTTCTCCTCTCCTTTTGCATAACATATGAACGTATCACCTGTTTGCAACTGTGTGAATTTTTAAAATTCAATCTATGACGAAAGGCTGCGTTCCTCTCTTACCTTACGATCAGGAGCTGACTGGTCTTATTTATGCGATTCTACTCCGACTTGTCAAGCTGAGGAAACATTTAGGCCGAGAAGAGTCTCCGTTCAGCGAGCTGGGACCCTGTCCTCATGTCCACGGGGGGCAACACTCTCTCCGTTCGGCTTTGGGCGCCTCTTTCTACATTGTTTCTTAGCAAAGCGAGCAAAGCTGGAAAGGCGCCGATTCTGCAGAGTCTGCGCTAAAAAAACAGAGTTTACAGAAGTTTGATCGGTCAGAGCTGAGTGTCAGTCTGTACCGGCCCTGCTCGGACACTTTATTATGTAATGATGGGGGCTATGCTCTCTCTCTCTCTCTCTCTCTCTCTCTCTCTCTCTCTCTTCTCTCTCTCTCTCTCTCTCTCTCTCTCTCTCCTCAGGTGGCTTTTCACTAAGTTTGTCAGCGGCCGTAAACAAAATGTCTCTCCTCTCCTCTCAGCGCGTTTCACATCGCAGATGTAAATAAGAGTTCAGGCACTGTTTCTCCGCCTCAGTACCTTTAATTCATGAATTCTCTTCTCCTCCCCCAGCTCTCTCTCTCTCTCTCTCTCTCTCTCTCTCTCTCTCTCTCTCTCTCTCTCTCTCTCTCTCTCTGTAAATGGAGCCGTTGTTGGGGACTCCTCGAGTATTCCGCCAATTCGTAAACTTTTCATGTAAATGTAGACAAGCTGAAATGGCACATTGTGAATCATTGTTGTGTGGAATTTCATTGCATTCATTATTATTATTATTATTATTATTATTATTATTATTATTATTATTAGAGTTTTGGTATCTGTGTTTTTTATCCTTTTTATTTTATTTTATTATTATTATTTTGGTAGTATGTAGTTATGGTCATTTTACATTATGTATCAATCATATTCTTCTAATTATATCATAGATTTTACCTCAAAAAGTCACACACACCCCTCTTTTTTTCTTTGGTATTAGTTTCTTCCAAAAGTTGGTGGATGAGATCTGTTCTAAGCAGTTAGTAGAGCATCAGTCCCTTTTTAAGACGTGTGAAAATGAAATGCAATTAGTTTTACATACTTAAGTACATTTGAGACATGTAGACATAGTTTGCTTTGCAAGATAATTGGCTATGGCTAGTAGCAGTAAAAGCTAGTAGCCATCCCTCAGTTCTGTGTTTAGCCTTCTGGCTTACTAGCTAGACGTGACTTGTGATGGAAGCATCCTATTTATTAGTGGTAAAGGAGAGCTGTAAGAGTCTTATGGCACTGAGCAGTCTCTGCTGTACTGCCTGTGCGTTGTGTTTGAAAATACAGCTTTTACCATGCTGGCAGGTTCCTTTCATCTGTGGCTTTATTATCTATTAGTTAAATTAATTTGGATTATGGATATAATCTTTTTATGTCAATTTATGCCCTTAATTTATGCCCCTTTTTGGCTGAAGCAGACAAGATTTAGCTTATTTTCAAGAAACGTGTCAGCAGTGTAAGTTAGTGTAGAAGAGAGTGTAATTTTCAACAACCATAACAGCACAAATAACTCACATGAAACTCTCTCAGTAAATATACAGTATGAGGTACAAAAACTGATTTAGTTTAAGTTTTAAGTCAAAATTGTCATCATTTTCTCTTTTTTTTCTGGGGAAGGACCCTCTGCCTTGCATAAACCTCTCTACAAAGAATGCATTAAAACCAAAGGTCTAAAAACAACTGGAACACAAAGCCTTATGCATCCATAACCATTTCATGTAATAGCTATCTGTGATGTAGCTTATAAAAAAATTGAATTCTTTAAATGTTTGGTTCCTATCATCACCACTGTGAACAATTATGACTTGGTAATTTTCTAGAATGGAGCATTAAACATTAAACCACTCTGAATGACATTGTTTACATCTTTTGATTTAATTATGCAGAACCGTTAAATAATTGGTGGAATTACCCTTTAAGAGAAAACTTGACATTAATGTTATTCAGCCTGACCTCATTCTGTAAGGATACATCAACACAAGGGGAATGTTTGGCCTTTGACACAGGGCTCAGTATGTACCAAATTCCTTTGTAAAAGTCTCTCTGAAATAGCTGAAAACACTTAGCCTCAGTCTCAGCAGCCATTACATTTACATGCCAAAAGAGAACAAGTGGCTCATACATTAAGCAAATATTTTCTTCTGAGAGAAGATAAAAATTCAATTCAAATTCAATTCAATTTTATTGTCATTATACCAATATGCGGTTGTACAGTATAACAAAACACTGTTAGGCTATTTCTCCAATACAGTGATTAAAAAAAATATGTTCAATAGACAGACACACAAAGACAATAGGTGCACAGACAGTAAATACAGCTTTATTTGGGGAGTAAGTTTAACAAGATGTAAAACTCACAAGCTGATATAAAACTAATAATTACAGACTGTAGTCCAGACTGTAGTTTCTCTACATAATGTCTTAGCCCCGTTTACCCTGTTCTTCAATGATCAGGACCCCCACAGGATGACCACAGAGCACATTGTGTCTACTCATTGTCCAACCTCCTACCTTGTTGGTCCACCTTGTAGATGTAAAGTCAGAGTCAGTAGCTCATCTGCTGCTACACAGGTTGTGTTGGTCATCTCCTAGTCTCAGTGGTCACAGGACGCTGCCCACAGGATGCTGTTGGCTGGATACCTTTGGTTGGTGGACTATTCTCAGTCCAGCAGTGACACTGAGGTGTTCAAAAATTCCAGCAGCACTGCTGTGTCTGATCCACTTGTACCAGCGCAACACACACTAACACACCACCACCACGTCAGTGTTACTGCAGTGCTGAGAATGATCCTCCACCAAATAGTACCTGCTCTGTGGTGGTCCTGTGTGGGCCCTGGCCTTTGAAGAACAGGGTGAAAGGGGGCTAACAAAATAAGAGAAACACATGGACCTATATGGTAAGTGGAGCTGATGAAAGAGACAATGAGTATAAATAAAAAAGGTGTACTTAATGCAATGAAATGGCCAGTTTACAGTTTTTTTGAAAAACACTATGTGGAATATGTTGTCTCATTTAAGTTGCCCTATTTATGTCCAAAAACATAGATGCATAATTTTTTCTTGTTTGAAATGTGAACATAATTTCCACATGAATAAAATATTTGAAATCGCTGCAGTTTGTATCTCTGATATGTATGTATTTATGTATTAAAGCAAAGAATGTCAGCTGTTACAACATACAACATATACCATACTGTTTACAAAGTAAAATATGACACAGACCGAGTCCTGGTTCAACTTTTAATTGACAAATGAGGTCAAGAGTAATTTTATCAGAGAAAAAAAAAACTGCAAATGATCCTAAGCACACCACTTCATCTGTGAAGTCTGGAGGGGGTAGTGCCATGGTTTGGGTATGCATGGCTGCTTCTGGAACTGGTGCACTGGTCTTCATTGAGGATCTGTTTATGGTAGCAGTAGAATGAATTCTGAGGTGCACATAAATATCTTCTCTTCCCATGTCCAGGCCAATGCCTCCAAACTCACTGGGTGCGTTCATAATTCATCAAGACAATGCACTGGGTGCTATAAGAGCAGGGTAGATTTAGTGGTTCTGGGGCTCCATGCAAGAGACAAGAATGGGGCCCCTGAATACGCATTTTTAAATTGGTTAGGGCTCTGAGCTCCCAAATGGCAAGACCATCTACATTGCAAAAATGTATATTTTGGCAAATGAAACCATCTTAAAACTTGTCAATTTATCTAATATTTCTCATTTTGAGATTGTTGTAAAATATTAACTTCATGTCTAGACAGTTTTTGCTTAAGTAATTGCATTAAGTGGAATGATCAGATTTTATTGGCAGATAATTTTGTTTTAAGATCTATGCTTAAAACAAGCAAAATCATTTGTCAGTATGGCGAGATAATTTGGTACAAAGTATTTCAGAAATAAAGTAACAAGTAACATAATCCCAATACATTTTGAGAGAAGTACATAACCTGACTGGAGTTCTTTTTTGAGTATATACCCACTGAAACCAACACTGAAACATTAGTGCTAGCAACATAAAATACAGTTTTGAGTACTTTGTGCCTGTGCAGCATTCTGTTCTGACTGAAAAAAACAAAGCAATATATATATATATATATATATATATATAATATATATATATATATATACCTTTGCTTAGTGCTTAGACCGCTCCTGTCTATGATGAGGGAAGACAATTCCAACATGTCCATCTCCTCTGTTTTGTGATATCATGTTGAGTTTTGCTTAAACAGCCAAAATGCAACACTTTTGAAAAGCAACAAACAGGAATACAGCATGTTGATATGCAGTCATGTTTCCTATGTTCATGTTATTCACAGCTTGCTGCATGCTAGAGATGACAGCATGGTGATAGCAAGGGTTTATATATAATAACAAAATGTAAATCTAACAAAATATGGTTATTATGAAAATTTTACACATTTTAATGTTGTGACAAGTCCTGTTGAGGCAAATGAGATTAGGCAAGAGGCCCATGTGTGAAAATTTGAGGGGACCTAAAATTACCACCAGTGCCCCTGAGACAAATAACATACTGCACCCTTGACCAAGACGTTATAGACTGCCCAGGTCAATCTTATGATTTAAACCCAATTGAGCATGCTTTTCAGCTGTTTAAGAGGAAACTCAAGACAGAACAACCCCAATACAAGCACCAGCTGAAAGGCTGCCATAAAGGCTTGGCAGAGCATTGCAAAGAAGGTATCAAGAGTCTGTGATGTCAATGGGTCTCACACTTGAGGCATTCAGTTATTCAGAGTGGTTTGATGTGAAATGTTTACCAACTCTTTTCTTTACAATGGTTGTGATAGAAACCAGACATCTGAGGCTTCAGTGTCTCTAAAAGTGACCTTACAGAAAACTATTCCAGTAAATCGTTAACAAATATGTTATGTGATGCTTGAGACACTGTTTTTTAATCATAGTTTTGAGATTTGGTTTAAAATGTGATATTAAAATCCATTCAGGGCAGAGAAGTACATGCAGGATGTTGTAAGGCAAAATAGTTTTTTTTTTTTTCAGATTTATCACTGTTTCACAATTATCAACATTAAATATAAAAACTGAGCAGACACTATAGGTTCACCGGTCATCTTAAATACTATTACCCCTGGTTTCTATCAACACCACTGTAAAGAAAGCTTCTTTACAGTAAATCATTTCACATCAAACCACTCTGAAAGACTTTATTTATACCTCAATGACTAAATGATGCACAATTTTTAAAAAATCGGTGGAGTTCCCCTTTAAGCAAGACCACAAACCAAATATGTGGAAAAGGCCGGAAGTTGCTTTTAACCACAAGAGAAACGTGAAGTTCAGTTTGATGTCTGAGAGACAAAAGAGTTCCTAGGTGGTAAACTTGGAGCCCCCCATGTTGTCAGCAGGGGATGAAGAATTAAAGGAGGGGATGTAGAGCTAGCTTTGGCAGACAGGGATGAAAGGATGGATAAGAGGGACAAGAAGGAAGGAGGGAGGGAGAATTAAAGTGGGGGAGA